TCTCATAAGACTTCCAATACTTTCCGAATGATTCTAAACATAGTTTTATTTCAATCTCATAAAACTATCTTGTTAGAACTCAACACTCAAAATCATATATTATTTAATAATATTCATTTTTAAACAAAACACGATAACTCAACGTGTATGTTACATCGTGACGCGTTCGCACGCGACACACGCGCATTGAATGTAATACGGACTTGAGGGAATAATCATGCGCGACGAACATCAATGGAACGTCATTTAAATGAGTTTTCCTTTTCTTTTTCATTTATTTTGTTTATTTTGTTTTTATTTTTATTATTTTGTTTATTTTTCGTTAAAAAAATCAATTTTTTTTCTTAAATAGATATATGCTCGGTTTTAATTTTTTATATATTTTTGTATTTTTTTTTAATTTTTTTTTAAAATTTTGTGTTGTTTTTTTAATGTCTTTAATACATACTTGAAGATAGTATTTTTTTTTGTTTTTATTTTTTGATTTTTTTATTATTTTTTAAACTAAATATCGGTTTGAGTTTTTAATATTTAATAATTATAAAATTTTAAATAAGAAGAATATTTAGGATCAATAATATTTTCCATTCATACTTTTTTTTGAATCATATTATTTTGGATAATAAAATTTTGTATCATAACGATATTATCCATCATATATTTTTGGATCATAATATATTGAATTAAATAAAGTTTTTGTTCAATACAACATTTTGATCATTATAATTTTTAAATCATTAAATTTTGAATCATAAAAAATATAATAATTAAGGATCATTAAATATTTGAATTAAAATATTTTTAGATCATAACAAGTTAAGGATCATAAATATATTGAATCATAATATTTTTAAATCATAAATATTTTGAATCATCTTTATTTGCATCATATTATATTCAATATTTTTTTTAATCTTTTAAAATCAAGTTTAGTATCTAAAACATCTTATTTTTTAAAAATTCTTTTTACAAAGTCATTAGAATAGTGAGTAGAAGTATTTCTTAAACCTTTATATTTTTTGGAGAATTTTTTTTCTGGGTTTTTTATAAATATAAAAAACAAACAAAATATATTTTTTTTCAAATTTTTATGATTGTGCTCATTTTGTAGAGAATTAAATTTTAAAAACTTTGGTTGTTTTAGATTTTTTTTCAAAGAAAATAAAAGTTATGGGCGAAAAACTAAATGAGTGGAAAAAAAAACTCACCAACCAATAACAGCTGAATACTTGTCATGATGGGGATGTGGGCCCGTGTCGGATCCTAGAGTGGCCACATGACCGAATTTTCCTTTTTTTTTTCTATTTTCTTTTAATATTTTTGTTTTTATCACTTGTATGCTCAAAACAATTAATCTTTTCTAAAAATTATTAAAATCTTACAATTAATTACGAAAATGTCATATCATCTTATAAGATTTTGGATAAATAAAATCCGTAGTATGTATTTTTAAAAAAATAAGCATCGTTTGGTTATTTACATAATTACATGAAGTACTAGAAAATGGAAGAGTTATGACCTGCCGGAAGAAAAAAAAAATGGGCGAGGTGTGTGCGTTTTTTTGGCAGTATTAGGCCGACAGTAACAGTATTGGCTCTGTTCTGTTGGTTCGCGTTCATTTCAGCCTCCTTTACCGACCTCAATTTGCTTCTGCCTCCCTGATCTGATTACCTCCATCGCCATTTTCCCCACACTATAAATTATAAACCCTAGCTTCAACTCAGATTCCCTCCACCTCAACATCAACACTTACCAATTTCTTATTTTCTTTCAGTTGCTTGCAGAACCCAGACACCACTTTATTCCCACTTTTCAGCATCTTTCAATAGGAACCTCCCGTTGAACCAATCGACATTGTTAACTACAACCACTGATACCGATCGCCAGAAAATTAGTTATTCCAGAAACATGGGCGGAGGAATCCTCATCACCAAAGCTGTGGCGGTGGTACTGGTGTTGGTGGCAGTGTTGGGTGGCTCAGTTCAGTCGGTGGAATCAGCAATAGGGGTGAACTGGGGTACCATATCCAACCACCGGTTGGCACCTTCCACGGTGGTGGATCTTCTCAGAGACAACAAGATTCAAAAGGTGAAACTTTTCGATGCTGACCCAGATTGTCTCCGAGCTCTCATGGGCAGCGGTATCGAGGTTATGGTTGGCGTCTCAAATGATCTATTGGCCACCCTCAGCTCCTCCTCCGCCGCCGCCGATTTATGGGTTTCCCAGAATGTCTCCAGATATATGGTTCGAGGCGGAGCCAACATCAAGTATGATTCCCTATCCCCGTCTCTCAGTATGTAGTAACTAGTATTGTATATCTTTAGCTTAAAATCCGCTGCTTTCCTGTGTTCTGAAACTCAAATCTCTAGCTGCTGCTTATTTTTGTCGATTAGTGTAGGGATTGATATTCTTTTAAGTAGTGAAATGTTAAAATAAACATATTACATCTCAACACTTCAAAATTTGTTATGTAGATAAGTGCACCTTTGTTACTGAGCTAGGTTAGTCGACAAGAAAAGCTTCTTATTGCTATTTTTGACGATCGGATAAAAAGTGAATATTCACGTCTTTTGCACATAAGAGGTCCTGACCAACTGCATCTTTTTTACCTAATACCTAACCCAACAAGTTATACATGAGCATATATTTTTCGACGTAACAACATAGAAAGAACGCGACTTAACAGAGAAAGTCATTTAATGTGATTGACTTTTTGTTTTTGAATAATAGGTACATCGCGGTAGGAAACGAACCATTCCTTACAAGTTACGGTGGACAATTCCAATCATATGTGATGCCCGCGATAACAAACCTCCAACAATCCTTAACAAAAGCAAACTTAGCAAACAATATAAAGCTTGTAGTCCCATGTAACGCGGATGCCTACGAGTCTTCTCTCCCTTCCCAAGGCGCATTCCGACCCGAACTCACCCAAATCATGACCGACCTCGTTGCATTCCTCAATTCCAACGGTTCCCCCTTCATAGTCAACATCTACCCATTCCTAAGTCTCTATTCCAATTCCGACTTCCCCCAAGACTACGCCTTCTTCGAAGGCACAACACATTCGGTCACAGACGGACCGAATGTGTACTACAACGCGTTTGACGGAAACTACGACACGTTAGTTTCCGCCCTTAACAAACTCGGATTCGGTCAAATCCCAATTGTTATCGGGGAAGTCGGTTGGCCTACAGACGGAGCAATCACTGCAAATGTGAACGCGGCTAGGGTTTTCAATCAAGGTCTTATAAACCATGTGTTGAGCAATAAGGGTACCCCTTTAAGACCGGGACAGGGTCCCACGGATGTTTATCTTTTTGGTCTTTTTGATGAGGAGGCCAAGAGTGTGCTTCCCGGAGGTTTTGAGAGACATTGGGGGATTTTTTCTTTTGATGGGCAAGCGAAATATGCTTTGAACCTTGGTTTGGGTAATGGGTTGTTGAGAAATGCTAAAGATGTTCATTATCTTCCTTTTAGGTGGTGTGTGGTGGACCCGTTGAAAGATCTTTCCGGGGTTTCCGATCATTTTAAGTTGGCGTGTACGGTTGCGGATTGCACGAATTTGAATTATGGGGGATCGTGTAATGGAATTGGTGAAAGGGGTAACATTTCTTATGCGTTTAATAGTTATTACCAGGTACTTCAACAAAACTCTTTACTTTTTTTTACCAATAATTGTAACTTACTTACGTTATTTATATGATTTTAATTATTATTATTACTAGGTACAAAAACAGAATTCTAGAAGCTGTGAATTTGATGGACTTGGGATGGTGACATTTCTGAATCCTTCAATGGGTGAATGCAAGTTTCTTGTTGGGGTTGCTGAGGAAGTGGTAACTGAGCATGTTTCGGTTGGTTTGCAATTGTATAGAGGATCTGTTATTGTTTGGTTGTTGATATTTTGGGGGTTTGGGGTATTTATGATTTGAATAGGGTTGTATGAGGTTGGATTGTTTTTTTTTTTTTTTTTTTTTTTTTTTTTTGTTGAACTTTTTAGTTAGGTAGTTTTATAGTACACCATATCAAGCATTAAAAGATCATTCCCGTTTGAGAATTATATAGATTTTTCTTGAAAGGTATATGTATATATATCAGCTTATTGGTGGAAATGATAGTGGACTTTACTTTATTTTTTTTTGAATCAATATAGGTAGTGTACTTTTTATGCATAGTAGCAATGTATGACACTTATTTTTACCATAACAGCAACATAGTTACATTTATAGTAATAATGTACTTAAATTCTCTTTATACATAATAGCATTATTGATGAGAGCAATATGTAATTGTTACAAGTATGGATAAATCTAAAGAGTCCTGTTATTATCTATAAAGAAATTTAAGTACATTGCCCTTATGAGAGTAAAGTGCACTGCTATTATGAGTAAAGAATAAAATGCAAGCACATTGCAACGCTTGGTATTAGATGCCAATTTTAATAGCATGTTAGATATGTATTGTTTATGATTTATCTATAAAAAAAATCCTTACCCTTTAGGAAAAAGAGATGATTAGAACACACATTCGAGTGGTGACATTCTAAACAGAAAAACGTTTGATGAATTCTCACATATTAGTATCAATCCAACACACTTCATTAAGACTAGAATATGAACATCATACACCAAAGCAATCTTATTTTCCTAAAGTTGGAGCATCTAGCATATCATCCACTGAGCCTGAACATGAAAGTTTTGCTTTCTCCTATGTTGAAAGGTTCATCTGGAGCGCTACCATGTGCCCTCTTCTGTGCATATCCAGGATACTTGTTTTTGAAAAACGGCTTGGCCTTGCAAAAAACCAAACCGATCTTCTCAGCCTCTTTAACCAAATCCCACTTGTCATAAGGCTCACCAATCTTATGAGTCACGTGGATCTCACCATTCTCCTTTTTCAGAAGCACTTTTGCATTCATAAGAAACCCTTTCACCAACTCCTTGTTCAACCTGCGTTAAGAGCAAAACATATCAAATTCCATCGGATAGAGAGAATTACAGGAGAGTAGCGAGGTATTACATGATTTGGCAGCCATTGCCTTCAGGGAAGGCGAACCCAACATGGGGGAAATTATAGACGATGCGATGGAAACGCTGAGTGGTGAGAAAAAAGTGGTGGCTCATGGTGGTTGCGTCCACCCCACAGACTACCACGCAGCCTCTTTGCTGAAGCTCTATTAGATTCTCGATTGCGTTGCTGTACTTTTTTGCCAGCTCCTCTGCAACCATCCGTATAACGATTCGCTAGTAGAAGTGAGATATTATACTAATGGTGGATTTTTGTAAGCAGTAGTAGTGTAGTACTCACGGTGGGTGTCGACGGTGGTGGCGACGATGTTGCGGGCGGAGCCAAAAGCTCTGGCCAAGCACAGAGAGAAGGAGAAATCGCCTTCGCCGACCAAGAGTATCTTATGGGTGGAGGAGTAATGTTCTTTCCGTACCTCCTTTTTCACATCCTCCTCCTCTTCCGACGACGATGATCCGTCCTCATATTCCATTGCTGCCGTCGACATCTTTTGGTCTTCTTGCTTTCCCCAAAATTCTCTTTATTTACTGATTGGAGCGGAAATAGCGACTATTGTCGTTTCTCTCGCAAAGCAAAACGATTTCATCAAGAGTATTCACTAAAATCATTAATTTTTTTATAATTTGATTTCATTAACAGTATAAAAGCATTACTAAAATCATTATTTTAATAGTGGGCTTTTTGATATATATATTTTTTTATTTTTTTATTGAATTATTGTTTGAGATCCTATAGTATCATATATATATCTCATACCGGGTTCTAATAACATTAAGATGTTGTATTAGATTCAATTTAACTCAATCAACAACTACAAATAATCTTAAAAATACTACAATCACAAAATGTTTGTTACAAATATTACTAAAACAAGATTTCATTAGGTCACTAAAATCATTATTTAAAATAACTAAATTGGGAGGGCAATATATCACCTATTTCTTGAAATAGTTTTGTAAAATGTTTTTTATTTTATATAATTATTGTTTAATCATTTTAGCAAATCTTTACTATCTTTAATTCAGTTTTGGTTTTTGCAAAATCTTTTCTAAAATTCCTTATTATGCTATTTGAAGTTTTAAATATAGTTTATACATGGTGCAATTCCTTTTATTCAAAAAATACTATCACAAATATTGAAACGAATCACAAGTTTTTTTCATGATATTGAAACGAATTCATCAAACGAATTCATCTTATCTTATCTTAAAACATAATTCCTTTTATTCAAAAAATACTATCACAAAAGAAGAAAATTATAATATTTATTCAAGTATGAGGGTGTCTATTATTTAGTAAAATACTTATTATTATGCAAAATATAGTCTTTTCAAATGACAAATGAATGGCATGGGGGCGTTGAGGGGAGAGAAAGTGAGCAGCTGCACATGGCCCAATTTTTTTCATGATATATTTTTGTTTAAAAATAAAAAATTATCATAAAGATAAGGGTCATTTTTTTTGTTGTTCGTCCTAGGCTTCTGAGAATATTTAATTTTTCAGGACAGGCCTGATGAATGGCTATTAGTCTGTACTATTTTTAAAAGATCACCTATTTTGTGAAATGTGAAGGGATAATGACTAATAGTTTATATATATATATATATATATATATATATAT